GTTTGGAAAAAGTAATATATGTTCTTCAATCTAGAGTACGAGTATACTAATTACAGTTCATTTTCTATTGCAGTGAATTCTTCTTTTATATAGATTATTAAATTTAAATAATCCTAAACCTAAGATTAGTTTAAGTGAAAACTTCTTTAGGCGTGTTTTGCACTTTTTTGCGGAGAGTGAATTTGTTGATCCGTCAAATTTCATTCGGCATTAATGCTCAGATAAAGTCGGCTAAAGTCAACCACTTAAAATATTTTTATGTATGGATAAAAATATTTTAGAAACTAAAATTCGGGCCTGCATACTGTATGCAAGGAAATTATTGAGCATTTTATCCTCTCTGTAATAGGCTATAATTCAAAAGAGTATCTTCATGCAATACCATATTAGGGAAGCAAAAAGGAAAAAATAGTGTTGAAAATCAAATGTTAAGGTTAGTGAACACGGATTAAAATATTTCAGATACTTAAAATCGGATCTGATACTGTAAGTAAGGGAAATGTATGCCTAGGTTATAACTATTTTAAAGTTGAAGAGCTTAGTTGGTTTGTTTTTCTTTGTAAATACCGAAATTTACTTTTTAATCTCACAGAAGGGCCGGGGATTTCTCACCTGTTAGGATTTGTATAGTGCCCAACTATGGATAATGATTTTAAAAGTAGATCATTCTATTCTAAATTTTAGATTCATTGATATCTTTTTTGGTAAGTATGAAACACACTCTTATAAAGACCAAAGATAAATCCATCTTCAGTCTTTATCAGTGAATCAAGTCAGATTCACACAGAGAAAAGTACCACAACACACAAAAAAAAGGAATGAGTTTCTAGTAAAAACACTCAAAATAAAGAGGATGAGACAGCAAGAGTAGTATTGTGACTGTTAATTGTTATCGCTTTTTCAATATTTATAAACCGAGCAGGAAAAGGTTTTTCCATTTTTTTTATTCTTATATATATTTTACTATTTAATTTGTTTCAAATAATCATTACTGATTTGGGAAATAATTATTTAACAACAGGTTATCCAATACCTATCCAATGTTTAACTGTAAAACTATACTTTTTTCCTAGAGTACCTGTTTCTGGCCCCAAACATTTAATTTGTCAAAAGAGGTGTTTCAAAAGTTGAAGTAGGCAATAATTTTAAATAGAAAATTGTATTTCCACAATGTTTTAAATTAAACTTTAATAAGATTATCAAAATTGTTCTAATTGTAACGAGAAATATGTTTATCAAATGAACTTCTAACTGTAATTTTGTTTTCCCTCGCTCCTAGATAGAAGAACAAATGTTATTGTTAAACAGAAGAAAAACAAAAGATCACAGAAAGTTACAATGAAACAATCATAAAATTTGCTCATATTTGTTTTTAATTTTGATCAACATATTTTTTAGATTAAAATATTAAATATCTGAAGAAAAGAACATAATGTTCTTATGTTGCTATTCATTGAGAGGTTGTGTATTACATATTTTACAAAAAAGGAAGACTTCAATTGTAATCACTTTTATAGTTAGTGATGTTTATATATATATCTACATTTTTTGATCATGATCATAAGATGTAACTACTCTTAATTGATATATTAAAATATATTATATATGTATGTTTATATGTCTCTCTGATAAACAATAAAAGAACAGCTTTATCCAAAGCTATTCTTTGACTTTTTTTATATTATATCTCATCGCTGGAAAACACTCATCCATTTTCAAAAGTAAATAAACTATATTAAACACAGAAATATGCTTTCCATGAGCCAATGAAAATGTTGCACTCATTATTTTGGCGAAACTAGCAGTATTTAATATTATAGTAGTTCACAATATTTTATTAATTAATAAAGATTATTATTTGAATTATTTCTGCAACAATTGTTTGACAATTGTCAATTTTCCATATTAATAACTGGTTTTCACTTTTAAAATATTCAATAATTAGAAAAGGGTTGTTAAAAATCAACAGAAATGTTGATAATTTATCATGGCACAATGGTTATGAAATATCCAATATAATGTTGCATTGACAAATTTTATGTACTACAAAGGTTAGTATTTAGCTTTCCAAAATCATCTGTGAATTAATTCTTATTTTGTAAAACACAACATGTCACTTTCTCTTTTAAATGAAGAATATGAGAAATATTTAAAAAAAAAAAAAAAAAAGAAATATGTACTATTTGAAATTAAAAATGATTGCTTAGCAATATTTTAGTTATTTATTATGTTTATCAACCAATCATTCACTTGTAGCCTGAATATTGAACCAACAGGCTTCATGGCTATTAATTTGATATTGTAAGTACTTGTCACATTATTAACTTAAATATTGTTATGAGTTATCAAACATTTTTAATTATTAATTTTCATTTTTAGCATTTTTTGATCTAACATAAAGTACTTATAAATAACTGTCCAGTTAGTTACAAAATAAAATCATAATCTAACGACTAATATTAATTACTAATTTGATTAATTCATGTTTAAATAGCAAGTAAACGTGAATTCGGATTATAATAATAAAAATAAATTTTGGTATAGACTGAAGACAAGTTGTAATTTATTCAGGAAAACATAAGTAAATTGAATAAATGAATGAAATAATATTAGTGATTTAGCATTATATTAATGGTTTTGGGTTAAAATGTCAGTTTATTTATTATGAAAATATATTTATAAAATCCTATATAAATTAGTCTGAGATTAATAGTAAAAGTTTTTAAACTTGATTCTTCTTTAAAGGTACAAAGGACTAATTTATCAAATGAAAATGTGAAAAATAACATCAACTACTAAAACAAATGAAAAATAAGATCACAATTTGATCAAGCGATTCCATCATGTACCATAAGACATTTTCCTATCATATAAATTTCTCATGTTTATGCAAAAAAAAATATAGCTAGTTTTTAAAACAAAAACATAAATTACTCATTATTTTTATGTAAGGGAAAGACACATATTTCTCTTTTTATTGTTTACAATATTATCTCACAAAAAGAATTAAAAAGATGCACTTAAAATTAATTGAAGGAGTAATTCCAAGAAACAAACAGAATCTCGAAAATAAAGGGGGGAAAAGTTTTTAATGATTTTTTTTTTTTAGAGAACTGAGGTTTTATTATGTAAAAAAATCATTGAATAATAAAAGAAATTAGTTATTTACTTAGTTAGTCACTACTTTTATCCTTCTTTCTGGCTGCTAATTAATTCGTCATTGAAAAAACTACTGGCCTCTGTTGGCAATTCAAGAATTAGCTGCCGATACAGAATATGAATCATTGATTAAGAAAAGTTCTAGTTGGAAGAAGCATATGGCGATAGAGGTACAATATTCCATTTCAGTGTTTCATATTAGTTTTTGACTGAAAAATTTCCTTTTCACATCTATTAGCTTTAATTCTCATGACACTTAATTTCCTTATATTTGAATCAGTCCATGGCTTTCTGCCATAAAAAAATGGCTTTCTAATCTATTAGTGATGATGAGCAGGAATGACTAAGCTGCCTTGATAGTACTAGCCAACACTTCTCCGTGTCCCTATAACGAAATTTTTTTTCATCACATTTACTGATCACTATCTGATCAATTATCTACTGCCTATCTATGAGGACAGAAAGGCAGCAACATAGTTAGAAAGTCAAATTGATCGCTCAATACCCCTCTAACATTTCGTTAGAAAGAACCCAACAGGATCTCGACACAAATTTGTGTTTACAGTCACCAGAGCCTGTCTCGACTCTTATATGAGTCCCTCATCGCTTCTCATCTTGTATATGAGTCCACCATCATTAAAGGGTTAAGTCTTTTTCATATATTCTATGAATTTTTCTAGTGTTGGACACAAATGTTTGGCCATTAATGTTGCATCTTCAAATATTTCTGACTTCACTCCACTTATTTATCCCATGCTATAAAATCACAACCTTTCAACCTGATTGAAATTGATGGAGCATTGGTTCCAAAAGCTTCAAACTGCAATAATTAATTAACTTCAACGGCATTTTTCTTCAAAAGAAACCAGAAAAGTAAAGCATCTTGCGAAAGTTTCTTTGGCACAAAATTCAACATATTTAGGGTGCAAAACAATTATGTTGTTTATTGTTCGACAAAATGACTCATACCGACAACTACAGCATTATAATAATGCTTTATCATGAATGTGGTTTGGTTATGGTTTGATGCAATTTAATAGCAGTTACACTACCTCTTTTAAATGTTTTAAAAGTTACTTTTGCCACAGATAAATAAATTAAAAAATCCAATTAATTTTTGCACTAAAAGAATATAGATTCCATCCACTTAAAATTAAATGATTCATGAAACTGTTTTTGGTTTTGGTGAACTATAAGTGCAATTAAGTATCAATCAACAAAGGCTCACGAATTAGTTAACAACCAATTTGGCAGTTTTATAATGAAAAATGCTAGTCTGGTTTTAGATTATTAACTTTTCAACCATATTTATTTAATTTGTTAAAATGGTGAAGCAATTTAGGAAAATAGAAATTATTTCCTTCCTGAAGAATGTTTTTGAATTGAGCAATTAGAAAATTTAGTTCTGACTCAGCCAATGTTTATATTTTATTTCTCAAAGATGTTTTTTGTCATTATGCCATATCTTTCTTAATTCTTCATCCTGAGTTTGCGAGTGTGTGTGACATGAAATATACTCATAGATATATTATAGTCCCACATATGGTGTATTTATATTAGTTCTCATTGTTTAAAGTTCAGGAATGAACTCACTATTTCCATTTGTTATAAAAAATAAGATGATAATGAGTTCTTAATTAATAAACACATATTTATTAGACTCAAATGAGAGAGCCTTTCAATGTTACAGCTTTATTTCGTGAATAATCAAGAGAGAAAAACTGGAACTTTGCGAAATTCTCTACATCCTTCCGATCTTCATTTACAAGACTGTTTTACATACAATTTTGCTACTGAAATTTCAAACAAACTCTTAGACGCATCATTTAGATATTAATGTGGTTTTATTTGTTTAATATTGATTGCATTTATAAAATAATCAATCACTTTCTAGTCTTACTGATAAATTTAAAGTTTAACAGAATAAATAGAATAGTTTATAATTATTGGGATTCTTAATGAAAGTTGATTTCTTATCATATAAAGTTGTTTTTCATAAGTTCTCATTATTTTCTGCCGTTGTGATTTATAGTTTGATCAACTTACAAATTCTTTTTATAAGAACACATTTCTTGTTTTCTACATTCTTAAAATGTACAAAATACATTCAATACAAATGAAATTGGAGTTAATTTTAATGATTTTGTTTTTCTCTAGGCACTATTTTAACATTGATATCAATAAGTTTTTAAAGTATCTGGTTAATATTTCAGGAAACTTTTTTTTTTTTTAATGTTTTTCCCACAGTATTAAGAAAATAAAATATTCTAAAACAACGAATCCTTCCAATAATGTTATCCCTGTCACCGTATTTCAAAATATAAAATATAATAACACCATCTTAACAAATAGCAGAGATAACCAACAGAGCAAGGATTATTTGCAAAAAGTGAGCTCTATGCCAATACCCTGATCCATCAATTTCATTTTGTTGATCAAACCAGTCTGAACGAGTTGGTATCTGCGGAGCAGGTGGCGGAGTGGTCACTTCTTCTATTCGCATCTTTTTCCTTGGCTTCTTCGTAGGCGGTGGTTGTGTCTTCTGCTTTATCACCACTTTTCTTCTTCCAGTATCATGAGTAACAGGAATCAGAGTAGTTTTGGTTGGAATATGCAGCTCTGTAAAAAAAAAAAAAAAGACTGATTTAACTGAATATATTAAATTATAACATAAAATGGGATAAGTTCATTTATGTTATTTAAAAAAAATAGTGTTCAGTTCTTTATGATGCATTGTTAATATTATACAGACAAATTGGCTATCGCTACACAATATAAAAAAAATAACTGGTGGTTTGAGTTGTATTAATATTTATATGATAATGAAAAGCTATATTGCAAATATAAACAAGTTGCAGCGGAAAGTAAGGAGAAACAATGAGTTATCACCAATGATAATGATGACAATGGTTAGAGATGAATGGAGAAAGTGGTCCAAGGACAATCCACGTCTTGCAGAACAGTAGGTTAGAGAAAAAAAGGTGGGGTTAGAAGCCTCACTTCTGGAGTCACTGATACGCCATAGCAAGCTGTGAGATTTTGAATCATCTCATCCCATACATACTAATCCACAGGTCTCGAAACTTTTTGCCACATTGAGATCTCTATTATGTTCCACGGAGCGCATTGAGACCTCCAATTAGTCTAGGGCGCTTGGTTTGTGATGAAGAAAACAAGCTTTTTTCATAAATGACACTTCAGTTGTCAAATGAGCTTTCTTAGATAAACAAATCATACAATGAATGCTGTAGTTACCTCATATTCAAGTGATTCATTAAATTTAGTATTTTTAAAATTTTGCAATGTAATAAAAAAAAAACCTCCACGGGCCAGATTGGAGGTGCTTGGGGACTGTAGTTTGGAGACCCGTATACCAAACTATAAATGCAGAAACGTTTAATACCTGAAATGACCTAGTAGAAAGAAGAAAAAGTAGAAGTAAGGAAAGAAGAAATTTTTTATTCCTCAACAAGAAAGCTCTACTTGAGCAACACAAAATTTTAACAACACAATTTTTTGTAAATAAAAAATAGATAAAACAATCAGACACAATAATACTGAGTAATATCTAAAAATAAATCATGTATTATACCTGTTAATCTAACAGTACTTTCAGCTTTTCCCAAAGCATTTACACTAGAACAGTTATATCCTCCAAAATCATGTTTTTCAAGATCTTTGATGGTTAAATTCATATTAAGTGAATATTCATTGATGTGGTACTCTTCCATATGATACTTAGGGATATTCATCAATTTAATGCCTGAAATGCAGAAATAGAAATAAATATATTTACTTATTATATTATGAACTTAATGACGACTGTGACTTAGTATAAATTGAAAAATACATCTCATACTATATAAATTTCCAATTCCTGTTCACTTATAATTTTATAATGAAGAAAAAAGTGTAATGTTTTAAGTAATTTATTAACATAACAAAAACTTTGTTCTCACGTTGGAAAACTCGCTATAATCTTGATGTGTTGCTCACAAAGATCAAAACAATAGACTATAGAACAAAATTTATTTTTAATAACCTTTTTGAAAATCAATATTTAACAACTGTGCTTATCAATACTTGTTTTTCCATTAAATCTATCAATAATTTAATATTTTTTCAGTAAATACTGCACTTTGCAGATTTCAATGTAGTTTTTAGAATAATTAAAATGTGCAATTTAATGACAATTGTCTGGCATTAGTTTTTATGCTATGTATTCTAAAAAATTATTTCTGTCATGAATCAAAAAGAATTAGAAAAATAGTAAACTAATTTAAAATTAAGATGAATTTTATTGCAAGGCTTATAGAAGTTAAATAATATAAAATGTAGCCTAAGAAAATTTGAATTTTGGATTATTGTTGAATAAAAAAAATGTTTTTTTATCAATTTCGGGAGACCTTAAAGTTAAAATACAAAAATAAAATTAGTTTTAAGATCAATTCATATGAAAAAACTAACATGCATTTTAGTAGTAAATTACCAAAAAGTTTTATTTTAAGCTCATTCCGTTAGACCTACATATGTATATATTTATATTTTCAATACCATTTTGCTTTTTTGTTATCAAATGAATTGAAAAAAATTCTCTATTAGGTAAACGAAAAATCGTAAACATTTTAAAATATAATAGGCACTGGTTGTGTTTTATTAATTTATCAGCATTTATAATGTTTTTATTTGTCTATCATTAGTATCATTTATAATCTTATAAGCAATTTAAAGTTAGTATTAAAATGCCAAACTGCATTTGTGTGTATGTATCAGACTAGCTTTTGCCATATATCACGTTTAATAGTGCCACTTACAGTGATTTACTGATAAAAACCTAATTAGGTATAATGGTTTCCCTGCCATTATCGCAAAAAAAAGTCTTTAGGTCAAACTAAAGATCCACATTTTACAAGATCATGTTTTATTCAGACCACGTTTTCTCGTTCATTAGAAGTTGTTTAAAAAGGTTTCCGGAAGCTATTACTTAATTTAAGAGAGTATTTTCTCCTTTACGAATCATTCACGTATCTTTTTGATTTCACCTATTGAAATTTTATTAAAACTTAGTTTTTTAACGATTTTTGAAAATGTTAATTCACGATTATATCTTTATGATTACAATATAAATGTATACATTGTTCATAGATTGAACAATTTAAGAATCGTTTTACAGAACTATAAACAATTTTAATTATCATACTTTAGCAACTCATTACTTCTAAAAAAAAAAAAATAATAATAAATAAATTGGAATGGCACATTAAACCACGTTCAGTTACACTCTGCTGTAAGCAGGAATTCATTTCCTTTTAAATTAACTAACTTCAAGAATATTACTTTATATATAATTAAAAAGTTAGTCATTTGAAACACACCAATTTTGTGCACTATATATATATTTGATTTGTAAAGTTAAAAACACACATTACACATTTTCGATTTCTGTCAATTTAGTTCTCATGGAAACATTTATTCTTTATCCAACAATATATAGAAGTTATCAGTTTTCGTCATTCTTAATTACCTAAATTTCTAACCGTACAATTTATATCTATATCACTAATACTAACATTCGTAGAGTTAATTTCTTTTATTTATTATTTTAATTATTCTGTTTGAAACAATAATTCTGTTTTGTTTTATTTCCATTAAGTTTTAAAGTTTAAATATTTAAACAGAAGACGAAGAGAACAAAAATGAAATCAGCTGTTTTAATTAGGTAATGTAATGATTGGTTATAGTTTGTCGGATCCATTGTTGTGGAATGAATTATATTGATTATAGGAAGTGTAATATAGCTCTATATGTATACAAGCGCTAAGTTTTAAGTTTTAAACATGTACTTCGTCAACACACGGAGTCAATCCATATGAAGACACCATTAGAAGACAGAATTTCCTGCTATTCGTCAATTTCAAAAGATCATCACCTACGACAGACCATTCATGTAAATAATTTATTAAACACTTGTATTATTTTGTTTTATATTGCTTCTAGTTTTAATATTAGCAATATATTTGTTTATTATGCTGTCTTAGTATTATTGCCGCACGGGTTGCGCGTGGTTCAAAATCACTTCAGTCACACTTGTCCATGGAGTGCCGAATGCATCCGGATTTATCCGAAAGACTGTTTTCGGCGTTTATTTATTTTTTTTTTTTCACATTAGATATCTATTTAGTTCTTATGAACAAAAATCAAGGTACTTTTAAGGAAGAGTAATTGAAAATTAGGCATTTAAGAGTTATCCGAAAATTTCAATGGGAATGAAATCTATCAATTTACATCCGTACAAGATAAGTGAAAATAGTAAGATCGGTTTTTGAGAAAATAATAACAATGAGCAATATCAATGATATGAAGCTACTTTAAAAAATCTGGTTCAGTGAGCGTATTGCACGACTTTCACTTACCAACGTTAGAGTAGATAACTATTTTATTATAGGAAGTTGAAATGAAAACGACGGTGTAACTTCATTCAAAACAATTAATTACTATGTTTTCCCCGCAGATCGAATCAGTTAAATTTATACATTTTCATATCTTTTTATTTCCTTTTACGACTATGCGTAGTATCAAACAATATTAATTAATGATTATGGGGAAAATGGATGTTTTAGAAAAAAATTGAGTTTTATCGCAAACATTTATCACGAAACATGTCGAAAAAGTAACTTAACGTTAGTAAATATTGCATTTTATTAGGTTTATATTAGCAAATCATCAAAATTTTGCATGATATCTTTTTAAAAAATTATAGATAAGTGATATAAAAGTTAAACTAACAAACTTTTTTTTATAGCAAATTCAAATGTGAAATGGTATTCAAATAAAAATAAATCGAAGGTAGTTCACAGAAAAAAATTAATAAATTCGGCATTTAAGCCCTGTCAGGTTGCATCGATGAGGATAAAACCTACCTTAAATTAAAAATCACTTAATAATAAACTGATCTGTTGAGTTTAATCAAAATAGTTAGAGCCGGTTTCGAGAAAATCTTAAAAGTGTGTTTAATCGATTCTATAAAGTACCATTTCCAATTAGCCGATTCTGACAAAATAGTTGCTGTAACATCTCATGCATATAAAAACCTTTAATATGCCATTAAATTTTTTTACGATTTTTCGTTTTTGAGCTAGACTGAAAACATTTACACACAGACCATTTTGTGGAACTTGCTTATTTGGACACAGGGGGCCTCAAAACGTGTATTTCAGTTGAAAACTTATATTCGAAGATGTTTACGATTACAATACTTTCCCTTAGCTATATATTCTATATATAGGAAAGTGAAAGTAAAAACTAATTTTAATTTTAAAAACGAATTTTATGAAATCTATTCAATACATACTCACTCATACGTAAATTACTTTATTTAATTAACTTTCCTTTTATATAATATTATGTAGGCCAATCAACAGACCCCGTTCTATCAAATTATTATCATCCGCCTGAAACTTCGTGAATAGCTTCGTCTCATCGTGAATTTAAACTTTTTTGTTTACAAAAATTCTCGGAATCGGGGCGTTTTCAATCTGGAGGTCGGCAAACTTTGTCTATTTAATAAGATACTAAAAACTCATGAACACCCATTTGCTTTCCACTTGGTTTGTCAGATAATTTGATCGTATAATAAATAAATAATCGAGAATAAACATGGCCTACAAAAATATTGGGCCGTTCTGCCTTACGTGCACCCCCAACATGTTAAAGTAACAAGGTTGTATTGGCAAAACGTCCTAATATTTTTTAAGGCTACCTTTTTTTTCGACTTCAATAATAATGTGATCAAATTATCTTTCGATTCAAGTGGGAAGAAAATAATTATTTATGAGTATTTAGTTCCTAATTAAATTAATTATAAAATTCCCCATTTCTGAGAATTTTCATAGATTATGATAAAATAAAGCCATTCACGAAGTTTCAGGCGGATGTTAATAATTTGATGAAAAGGAGCCTGTACCACAGAATAATAATACTACAGCAATGTGCTGCATGCTAATGTAAATGTAATGAAATAAAATCAATATTTTATTATATTTTAATGCTTACATCTTATCGACGAAATTTATTTACTTCAAATGGGGAGCGTCCCACGGGTGGCGGATGTGGGGATGGTCGATGGAAATTCCTTGGAAGTTCCTCCCGGCTAAGTCCGGTGGACTCGCTGATCAACAATGAGAGGGGCCCTCCAGACTTGCTGGAGGTAGGGGCCCACCAGACTTGCTGGAGGGTGTGACGTAGGATTGAACGCCCTACTCACATATCTTTAGTTCACCAAACACCACAAATAGCCATAGATATCCCTAAGGTAAAACGCTCATTATCCGGAGGTAAACTAGTCCCCCGTTCGGGTCTCCGGGAGGGGACTGCTTTAGGGGATTCATGGCGCAAGTTGAAATATAGGGATTTAAATATTGGTACGTGGAACGTAAGGAGTTTAAACACAGCAGGGGGACTAAAATCGGTCGCGAATGAGGTAAATGGGTACAATTTGGATGTCGTGGCTCTGCTAGAGGTTCGCTGGCCAGAGGAGGGCTCTATGAGGGAAGGAAAGTACACTATTTGGTACGGAGGAAGTGGGAATCATTGTTTAGGTACAGGGTTTCTAATTAGGAGTAGATTACTATCCGCTTTGAGGAACGTACAATTCTTTAGTGATAGAATTTCGGCAGCTATATTTCAGGGACGTTGGTTTAAAATCGCATTAATAAACGTACATTGTCCGACCGAAGACAGTGACGATGAAGTCAAAAGTGAATT